GCGGCTTCCTGCGCCCAGGCTGCCAAAAAAACCACAAAACACCCCAAAAAATCGGGAGGGTGTCGTTGGGTGGTCCCGCTTTTCCCGGGTCTCGTCCCGCTCGGAATTCCGGGGGCGTTTAAAGCGCGGTATTAAAGGTTAAAACGTGATATTAAAGGTTAAAAATGTGATATTAAAGATTAAAATGGGATATTAAAGATTAAAATGGGATATTAAAGATTAAAAACGTGATATTAAAGGTTAAAATGGGATATTAAAGATTAAAATGTGATATTAAAGATTAAAATGGGATATTAAAGGTTAAAAACGTGATATTAAAGGTTAAAAACGAGATATTAAAGGTTAAAACGTGATATTAAAGGTTAAAAAGGTGATATTAAAGATTAAAATGGGATATTAAAGATTAAAATGGGATATTAAAGGTTAAAAATGTGATATTAAAGGTTAAAATGGGATATTAAAGGTTAAAAATGTGATATTAAAGATTAAAATGGGATATTAAAGATTAAAATGTGATATTAAAGGTTAAAATGTAATATTAAAGGTTAAAATGTGATATTAAAGGTTAAAAAGGTGATATTAAAGGTTAAAATGTGATATTAAAGGTTAAAGCACAATATTAAAGGTTAAAGTGAGATATTAAAAAGTGATATTAAAGATTAAAATGTGATATTAAAGGTTAAAGCACAATATTAAAGATTAAAGCGCGATATTAAAGGTTAAAATGCAATATTAAAGGTGAAAGCGAGATATTAAAAATTAAAGAGTGAGATCTTAAAAATTAAAGAGCGATATTAAAAATTAAAGGGCGATATTAAAGGTGAAAACAATTAAAAATTAAAGGGCGATATTAAAGGTGAAAACACAATATTAAAGGTGAAAATGCGATATTAAAAGTGAAAATGCGGTATTAATGATTAAAGAGCGATATTAAAGGTGGAAAATGCGATATTAAAGGTGGAAAATGCGATATTAAAGGTGAAAATGTGATATTAAAGGTGGAAAATGCGATATTAAAAATTAAAACGCGATATTAAAGATGAAAATGCGATAATAAAGGTGGAAAATGCGATATTAAAAATTAAAACGCGATATTAAAAGTGAAACCGCGACATTAAGGACGAAAACTCGACTCCGCTGCCTCCAGAGCTCCGGAGGGGTGGGACGAGGATTTCAAATTTTCCCGCCCCCGAATTTCTCAGGAATTAATTATTTTAATTATTTTTGGATTTTTTTTTTTGGGATTCCGCCTGGCTCAGCCCATCCCCCACCCCCCGTGGTGACACCAGGGGTCCCCAAATGTCCCA